AAAAATTGATCATAAGTCTGCTTATCAGACTTCTATAAGCATTATCTTAGCAAAGAGAGATATCCCTTGCTTCACAATCATGCCTTATCATGTCATCACTTTTTGTCAGTACATACATTTGTGAACAACTGTTTTCAAGGATGAAATACAGAAGGTAAAATTTCATCAAAAAATCAACAAATACCTTGAGAACTCACAGAGAATTGCAACTACTCCCATCAAGCCAGCCTGATGAATTAGTTTCACAAAAACATGATCAAATATCTCATTAGTCTTATGGTTTTGCTGCCCTCCTTTTTACATTCTAATCAAATATATATATGTGTGTGTATATATATATATATATACATATATATATATGTATGTATGTATGCATGCATGCATGTATATGGATATAAAGTTTTGTTACTTATATGCATTAACTATATCATATATATTTTATATGCCACCTGGGACAATTCCTCTTCTCTTACTGTGGCCCGGACTAGCCGGAGGTTTGGACGCCAATGCCCTAATGAAAATGAATGAAGAACCCACGTCCACTCCATCTAGTGGTGGTAAGGGGTGACAAAGCCGTGCTGTTCCGAAGAGGCTGCTGGCGTGCAACCAGTACCTCCTATAAGGCTTCTATCGCTTCTGAAAATTAGAGGAAAGTGAGACAGCTGTGGGGAAGGAATACAGAAATTCGTTGCAGAATATCTATGAAATTGGAACAGCAAACCAGTTTTCTAGGAGAAGAATGGGAAAAAGACCATATTACCAGGTCTGAACAAGCAAACCCTCGAGCTAATTCAGAAGGAAGGGAAGAAACTGAACTCAGGAGGAGTGGGAACTGGAGAGGAATTTGAGGAGGACAGAGTTCATTCTGAAAGGAAAATAAATGTTATGAATTGATTACAAGATGACGTTGACAGTGTACCTGCAGCAAAAAGGAATGTAGCCCAGATAGAAAAAAAAATAGGGAAAAAAAAAAGTAACTGCAGGACTGCAGGAAGATTGAAAGTAAAAGCAACAAATATTTCACCTTCAGATCTATCACAGCCAGCCATCAGTATGTAAAAAGGATTTCAGAATTACCAGGCCAACTGATGGTTACAAACATGCAGAATGTATTAATGGGCTGACATACTGAAGTGAAAATGGATCACAGAAAGATTGTTCCAAGATAGAAGCTGCAGAAAATGCAGCCTCAGCTGTCAGCCTAGGATTAACTAGGATGGAGGTATGATCTCACAGTCCCCTATGAGAGATTTGGAAGACAAATTATGCCTAAAACCACATCACTGAGTCATATCAGGAATCAACTGAAGCAGTTCAAGAACTGAATTTGAGAAATTCTGTTAGATTTGGTTACATTTCCTGGAGCAAACAGCAGACCTTCAGAAAATAAAGTTTACATCAGAGAAAAAGTATTTTAGAAGGTTAAAATAGCACTGGCTTGTTTTCTCCATTCCTATTTGTGTAATTGCCTAACAAGAAACATAAACTTAAGTCTGGATTTACTTGTACTTGAACAACTTCCGTAGAGAGCAAAACAGATCCAAAGCCAAAAGTACTAAACAAAGCATGAGCTCAGGAAGCACATTATGAGTGCTCAAAAAGGGTTGAAACTTAGAATCTCAAAACCATTGAAGAGTATCATTTATTAAATAAATGTTCACTAGCTGCACAGAAGCATAGGAATGGAAAAAGGGAGTTACATGGTTGGACCTGAAAATCGTCTCCTGATTGGTGTGCAAGATGAAAGGCAAAAGAATAGCAAAAGTTCCTGTCATTGTGCCAGAGGAAAAGTTGTCCTGGAAGATGTGGCCAGTGCTGTGTAAGTCATAACAGGATATACTGAGAAGAGGTGTTAATTTAGTATCGTATTCTGGAAATTAATCTCACATTGTAACCATAAGTAATAAGGCTGAAATGAAGTAATATTTGTCTTGATTGCCAGTGAACACAAAGAGCACATATTAAGTGTATTTTCTGACAGTAAAGGGAATCCATCTGACATTCCGTGTCTCTTTAGAATGTGTTTGTTCAAAAGAATGCTCTGCTCAGCACTCAGGAGGGCCAAAGTACATGGCATGTCAGCAGTATTACAAGAGAGATGGATCAAAAATAAACCATCTCCAAAAGCCCTAATATCGTTCATGAATTAGGAGCTCACAAGTTTTGTAGAGATACTAAAGGTATGAACACTGAATGAGGAGCCCAGGAAATCTGAACTT